TCTACACAAATTTATAATATTATAAAGCATTTTAATTAGTGCAGATCGCGTCCCCCAAGTTGACGCCAACGTGATATTAATATTTTTTATTAAATCATATATAAGTATATAATTTAATTCATAATAAAGTTTATACATACCAATACTGTAATATTGTTAAATATAGCGATTAGGTATTCAATCAACATGTACGGATGTAGGCGAGGACATAATTGCCACATATTACAGGTTTGTATTGTATAAAAAAAATAGCACGTCAATGAAAGATACCTGCATATACAAATAAAAAAAGCTGGACTTAAGTCCAGAAAGTGGCATATCTTTAGAGGGTGGAAGCACGGGTGTAAGGTTTGTGACGAATGTAATCATCATTCACACCTATATTGCAAAAAAGTAGCGAACGGAATATATAGGCAATGTGAATGTAATAATTTTCTAAGGGAATCTCGAGATACGTAGTTTAAACAAAATTTATCGTTATAGTTATTATTATTTGTCCACGTTCGTTAGCGTAATAATTCCGCATATAAAATTTATCTGTATCACCTTGCAAGGCTTATCGCTATGCATAACTTATTTGTGAGACGGGGCACAATCTCAAAGTGCCATTTTTCATTTTTCTGGAATTAGTACGTACTTAACCAAAGTCGGTCAATTAACTCATGCCACATCTATTCTTCATTTTGTGGAGAATTCACTCTGGACCACAAAGTGCCACACATTACGGGTTTGTATAATAAAAAATTTTAGCCACATATATATTATTTTTTCTGTTAATATATAACGATGAAAGATCAGAATAACATACTCGCGAATAAAAAAAGACAAAATTATATCGAGAAGTGGCATATCTTTAGAGGGTGGAAGCACGGATGTAAGGTTTGTGACGAATGCAATCATCATTCACACCTATATTGCAAAACATGCAAAAAGGTGGCGGGTGGGGTATATAGGCAATGTGAATGTGAAAATTTCAATAGAAATAACGATAGCTTAAAATTTGTACGTACGTAAAGCCTTATTTTCGTTATCTGTTATCTTTTAAAATCCCAAATTCGGTCAATCACCTCATGACACATACATCATATTTATTCGTGTAACATTTTTTACGAATTTTAAATTTTGTTCGATGGTCACAAAAATTAGATCAATCTATACGACAATCGATTTCTTTCTTTTCCTGGGCTACCAAAATGTCTAACCTTACAAGACTTCACTACTTTGAAAATAATATTTCGTGGAGCTTAGAAAGTTTTTTACAGTGGAGCCTGTTCTATGCTAACGACTTTGATGGAAATAAAGATAAAGAACATCGAATTTATAAGACACATTTAGAAGCAATCTATAATGATCCGAATTTATTGAAGAACCGTGATAGCGAAAGTCTGCAAAAGTCTGCAGAGGCTTTAAAAAATTTTAAGGTTCGGAAGTTTTTATTTAAATCATGAAGAGTGTGTTACTAGCTCAAAAGGTGCTAGGATACGTCTGACAGCCCGGTGGATACGTCTAGCGGGGCACCTTAGGATACGTCTGAATTGGGCACAACTTCGAACCGCTCTTTATGAAATTTAGTTTATTACTAATTTACCCAGAGGTGCTAGGATACGTCTGACAGCCTGATGGATACGTCTATCGGGGCACCTTAGGATACGTCTGAATGGGTTTTCTCTATTTTATTCATTTAGATGGAAGCAGACTCTGTTCAAGTTGGCAAGTTCTGGAAAAAAAGTCCGTCTTTCTTAGAAACTTTGAAGATAGCAATAAACCTTAATGCTGATAAAATGGTTTCTCGAGTAGCAGAATTACATGATGACTTCAGCAATACAATTTTTAGTGTCACTCAGAATCAATTACAATTACGTTTTGGTAATCCATTTAGAAGTATATATAATCTTTTCTGTGTATAATAATAAATACTGATACCTATAAATTTATTTTTAGGGCATAAGCGATCTCATTCTCACGAAGAAAATTTTCTGGAGCCACAAAGAAAAAAAATATTACCAGGAAGAGGGGTGGGGAATGTATTACCTGATGGCACAAAATTTGAAAAGGCGACTCCCCTTGATTTAGTACCGTCGGATGATGATGAGCATCTCTCTCAAGGAGATAACGATGAAGATGAAGACATACCTGCTCTGAAAGACACAGTTGTCAAGAATTTAAAAGAATGGATTTTACCTTCAGGGCAGAATGTAGGCAAAATTATTGAAGAAAATGTATCTGCCAACGCAGAAAAAGTCAAGAATAAGAAAAGATTGACGATATATGAAAAGGCCATATTAAGATATGGTGTATCAAACATAATCGATTTATCTGTTATGAATGAATGGTTTTCCGCGAAGGATATAAAATTCATGGCGAAAGATTATATTGATCTGTTAAAAGTTCCTCAGTTGCCAGCAGAATAAAATACATTTATATCGAAAGTTGAAAGCGTATGTATCTTGTTCTGAATTTACCTTGATATAAAGGCGTATTTATTCATTGTTTTTCTACAGATGACGCTTAAGGGAGATGCGAACGGTGCATACAAGTTTTGCATTGAAACTCATGTTAATTCCGAAGAAAACAACTATATGTACAAAATAAGCAAGATATATTCCGAGTTGTAAGCAAATTATTTTATTGTTAAATTTTTTTTTTTGTGATTCTAATTCTTATTATTTGATATGTACAGCATTTATAGAAGTAAGAACAAAGTCGATATCCTGGATTATGCTGGAGATACGCACACAGAACTTGATGTCATTATGAAGGCTTTTGGATATATTATTGAAGGGCTGAACACTGGTTTTGGGACACATCAAAAATGGTTAGTAAAGACACGAGAGATTCGTTAACTTTGTGATCAAACTATTATATTATTCTTACAAGCATATTATATTCATGGTTTAAGGGGCGAATCCTTCTGCCCATTAAGTAAGAGCAAAGACTATAACAAGGGTCGAAAATGTGATTTACGCTTTCTATCGATATCCGGAGTGGACTTAGGAGAGTGGGAATTTGCATCTGAAGTAATCCCTCACAAGGTTGTTAGTGACCGTTGTAGATCTGCTAGAGTTAATCAGTCTATTTTGAATGGCTTGTTAAATCTCAATCTCACCGACGAGCAAGCTAAAAATATCAAAGTGCCCTTTGTGCAGATATGTGGCACAAGCGGTCAAATGTTAATTGTAGATTTGGTTGAGGGTTTCTATGTAGTATTTCCTGGACCGAAGTTTGAGCTTCCCACAAAGCTTCAGCATATTAAAAAGCTAAAATCTGCTGTTAATATTATAAATTTTATTATGGTAAACTTGATTCCATTTGTTATCAAAAAAGTTTTGCATATCTAATCCATATTAATATTTTACATAGAATATATATGAGCAAACAAATGAAATAGCAGAAACTCAAGAAAACACACGCAATGGATTCAATGATATTTTTAGTGATAATACCGATATCAAACCTATTCATTATAAGGCCAAATATATACATAAACCATGGTGGTCTCCCAAAAGTAAAAGATCATAATAGGAAATTCTTTTTTGCCATATAAAGATCATATTTAGCTTTATCATGCCTTATTGAAAATAATAAAAATTTCATGTATTTCAGGCTTTATCTTTTTAGTAATTCTATATGTATATTGTCAACTAATTGGTGTTACGCGCACACTTTGTTCCATGTATTAATATTTCTTAATCACGAAAAATTATGTTTCCGGACCAAACAAAATTATGTAATAACTATTTTTCGTTCAGGATTTACGTAAGACAAACAACGTAGGTTTTGTTTCTGACACGATGTACCATATAAGTATAGCTGATGATTGTTTTTATTCTGTCCATAATATCGATAATTGGGGCGAATGAAGACGGTTCATTAAGTTAATGTGTTAGTATAGATAGTTAAACGAAAAAACTGGTATGTTCCGCAAGCATTAATATAGAACATTTTATAAAATAAAACAGAATTAGCATTAGCGATTTGGTAATAATGATTATGATTGAACACAATAAAACAAGTATGTACCGGTATATTTTTTGGCCATGTGTGATGAATCAATAAAGCCGGCCCTGGTGTTGATTTCGCATACGTAATCAGTTTACTTTTGCATGTGTATTTTGTGAATTTATTTTAATGTATTACTATCGATGTACATTACTCGCATATGATCGAGAATTTTTTTACGCAGTCATGTGTTTTGGATTTATTTATTTTTTGTGTTTACGTAGCATGTATCTCT